TCAACAAAAGAGGGGAAGGCCTTCAAGGAGATGGACTGACATGGTGGCTGCGATGATGGGCTCAAGTATAGCAGGGATTGTGGGGCTGGCGCGGGATTGGGCAGTGTTTCGTTCTGCTGTGCATGGGGTCGCTATGAGTCGGAAATGACTCGACGGCACTTAACAACAACAACAAGGGTCAATATTCTCTAGCTGAGAAACACCACTAAATTCTTCCACAGATGCTCAGGTCATTGTGAGAGAAGAATGTCAGAAAGGAGTCAAAAACTCTTGACACATCAAAGCAAGTTTTATACACTCTGGTGTCCTTCTTCACACTATAAATCCCTAGATCTGGATATTAACATATGAAGGGAGTAAAAGCACACAATTAGGTATGACTATGATATGCCATGGGAGTTCTGGTAGCGTAGTGCCTAAGGCATTTGATTGCTAACCAGAAGGCTGGCGGTTCAAACCCACTAGCCACTCCCCGGAAGGAAGATGAGGCAATTACTTCCGTAGTGATACTGCCTCGGAAACCCAAGGAGGGGTCGCTATGAGTCAGGTCCGACTCGACGGCACATAACAACAACAACAACAACGATATGCCATTTCCCCAGTTCTCTAAAAGTAAAAGAAAAGTTAAGATAGCAAAGAGGAAATGTATGACAATGTGAGGTGTGAAGGAGGCACAGAGGAAATAAGACTAAAACATACAGTAAAAATACGTAATCTTTTATATTTATTGAGGCAAGAAACATGAAAAAAAATCCAAAAAAACCCCAGCCACACAACAAATAAACAAATGCCTACTAAGACCAATTATCTTACCTAAAGAGTCCTTGTTTAAAAAGATAAGCACTAATATGACCACCTTCTAGATATCGGACTTCACAACCAGGCCAAATTTCTTGTAGACTTCGAACTCCTGTTCGTGGAATATAGGCATCTTCTTTGGCTTGAACCACTATAATTAGGCTTGGGTCAACTGGAACTAGGTACATAGAATTTTAAAAAAGGCAATACATATATTTTAAAAGTTCTAAGATTTTTATATAAATATTATTATATGAGAAAATAAAATATATTATATAGTATAGTGAAAGATTAATGAACCTAAATTTTGATTATGTTAAAAAATCAACTGTACTATATCATAATGTTAATCTCTAACAGAATCGGATGAAATTCTAAAGAAGATACAAAATCCAATGTGTATTATATTCAATGTGTTTTTAATAAATTAATATGATAGTCTTTTATTTTCATAGATAAAATATGATAAAGTTCTCCAAATTATCTTGGAGAACACTTTCTAGAGTCTATCATAAATACAGACTCCCTTAAAAATATGAAATTATCTGTAAAGCATCCTTAACAATATTACACAAATATTTACACATCAGCAAATATTATCAATTTCATGTAAAATTAGTACCTGAGAAATTCGCTACATGAGTACATTCATCCATGACTCCTTTCATAAATATTAAAGATTCTTTCTGCAGATTATATCTTCTTTGTTCTTTACTGAGTAGGTGGTATGACTGACTATTGCAACTCCTGTAACTACTTTTGTTGTCTGTAAGTGGTTGACTGAAGCACTCCATCTTAGAGGTATCTTGCAATAAAAGTCCTTCTGATGTGGCACTGATAGATGTTTCATTAGAATTATGGCACTCAGCAGATTTTTGGGACACAGTTTGGTCTGTTGAATCTAACTTTAAAGTTCTGGAAACCAGATTAAAATTAGGTAGCTTGTCTTCACTACTAGGAAAATGTTTCACAAACTCTTGTCCCATTTTAAAAGAATCCATCTGAATATATGAAAAACAAAAAAAAGGAAACATCATTTAATGTAAAAATAAAACAAAAAGAAAGGCCTCATGATCTACTTCTGGAAAGAATCAACACCAAACACCCTATGGAACAAAATCATACTCTGACACACATGGGGTCTCCATGGATTGGAATAAACTGGAAAACGAGTAGTATTGGTGGTTGCAAAACATTGTGGATGTAATTAATGTCACTGAACTGTACATTTAAAATTGTAAAGTGGCAATGTTTCATTGTAATAAACTTTAAAAAAAAAGAAAAAAATGACATCCTAGGAAAATATATTTGCAATTTATATGGCTAATTGCTTTAATTGTAAAAAGAGCTAGAAGTCAATAATTTTTAAAAGAGCCAACACAATAGAGAAATGAGCAAAAATATGCACATAAAATTTATAGAAAATTAAATACAAATAGCTTTTAACTTTATAAAAAGATCCTCAACTTCATTCATAATTAAGTAAATGAAATAAAAACCATACTATTTTTCACTATTAGGTTGACAAATAAACCTGTAAGTTTGATAACACACTAAACTGATAAAATTATGGAGAAATACATACATTCCTGCTGTTAGTGTAAATCTGTACAACTAGAAGTAGACAAAATCTATCCACATTACAAATGCATACACCTTTTGGCCCAGTAACATTTCTAGGAATTTACACTTGTGAAATACTGCATGTACAAAGTTATTAATGGCAGTACTGTAAATAGTGAAAGATGAGAAGGAACATAAATACCCATCAATAGGGTTGTTGTTTTGTTGTTGTTATGTGCTGTCGAGTCGGACCCGACTCATAGCGACCCCTCCTTAGGGTTTCCGAGGCAGTATCAGTACGGAAGTAGTATGGAGCTCTGGTAGCGTAGTGCCTAAAGCACTTGACTGCTAACCAGAAGGCTGGTGGTTCAAAACCACCGGCCATTCCTCGGAAGGAAGGTTGGGCAATCTACTTCTGCAGTGATATTACATCGGAAACCCAAGGAGGGGTCACTATGAGTTGGGTCCAACTCCACAGCACATAACAACAACAACATGATCTTAAATAAAATAGACTATCATGCATCGGTGACAAAGAATAAGGAAACCTTTTTGTATAGTTTGTAACCACTGTAAGAAAAAAGGAGAGGAGGGAGAAAAAAAGTACCGCTGTATTCTTTGCGTATAGACCCAAAATCCCTGAAAAATTAATATAATGGGTTATTTGTTGAGGGGTTTAGGACCTAGGCAAATAGAGAGCAGGGTTAAGACTCTTTTCACTATACAGTTGACCACTGAACAACATAGGTGTCAACCCCCACACCCAGTTGAAATTCTGCCTAAAACTTTTGACTACCCCAAAATTTTACTGTTAACCAGAAGCCTTACTGATAACATAAACAGCTGATTAATAGTTCTTGCCTTACATGTTACTAGATTTTCACATGAAGACACTTCTCACATACATACACAACAAATAAGTATATTTATCTGTATGGCACAATGATTATTTGCTATTCATTAAGTGGAAGTGGATCATCATAAAAGTCTGTCTTTTTCTCATTAAGTAGGCTGACGTTAAGTTAGAGGAGGAGTTGGTCATGCTGTCTCAAGAATGGAAAAGATGGGAGGAGATGGAAACGGAGGCAGGAAAGGCAGGCACAGTCAGTGTAACTTTATGGAAATACGTTGTAATTTCTGTCTGACTTTTACGCTTTTTCATTTTTTAAAATGTTTCTATGATTTCAATTATTTTTCCATTGTTTGCTTTAATTTCAGTGCCTACACTATAGAAGGGTCCTTGTTGTAAAAGAAATCAAAAGTAGTCTTGAAAAATCAGAAGCTTTTGCCAGTTGGTCTAATGTCAATTTGTTTTCTGCTACTGCTGCTTCTACATTTGTCATAGTCTGGCACTGATTCAGAAGCACTTGTCTCCATCAAGTTTTCTTCTGTTAATTCCTCTGGTGTGGTGTCTATTGTTGTTATATCATGTATAGTCAATTCCAACTCAGAGACCCAATGTAGAACAGAATGAAACACTGCTCTATCCTGTCATCCTCACAATCACTGCCATGATTAAGTTCATTGTCGTTGCCACTGTGTCAATCCATCTCATTAAAGGTCTTCTCCTCATTCACTGACACTCTACTTTACCAAGCATGATATCCTTCTCCAGGAACTAGTCCCTTCTGACAACATGACCAAAGTACAAGAGACAAAGTCTGCTCATTCTTAATTCTAAGGAGCATTCTGGCTGCACTTTTTCCAGGACAGATTTGTTTGTTCTTCTGGTTGTTGTTGTTGTTGTGTGCCGTTGAGTCAGACCTGACTCATAGCGACCCCTCCTTGGGTTGCCAAGGCAGTATCACTATGGAAGTAGGATTGCCCAACCTTCCTTCTGAGGAGCAGCCGGTGGGTTTGAACAGCCAGCCTTCTGGTTAGCAGGCAAGTGCCTTAGCCACTATGCTACCAGAGCTCCCTCCCGTTCTTCTGGTAGTCTGTGGTATTTTCAGTATTCTTCGCCAACACCACAATTCAGAAGCATCAACTTATCCTTATCCATGCATATAAAGCTACTAAAAACATCATGGTAGAGGCGGGGCAAGATGGCGGACTAGGCAGAAGGATTGCACAGACCCTCTTCAACAAAGAAAAGGGAAACCAATAAATACAGACACAGAAGATAATCTTGGACCCCTGAGCCTTGAAGGAAAGGATGCAGATTTGGACTAAACCCCAACTAGCAGAAGAATTT